GCTCTGGAGGTGGCAGAGAGAAGAGCTGCTCTGGGAATTCCAGCCCAGCCCCTGCCCACCCTGCCAGGGAACAATTCCCAATTCCCAATCTCCCACCCAGCCCTGCCCTCTGGCACTGGGAGCCATTCCCTGGGTCCTGTCCCTCCCTGCCTTGTTAAAATCCCTCTCCTGTATCCTTCTTCCCATTCTTTAGGGGGTTTTGGGAACAGCTTCTCCAAGGATCACCTCCACATGGGAATCCAGACCCTGAGGTGGCATGGGGACAATATCCCAGTAAATCCTCTGGATGGGATGGATGGAAGGAATTCCCAGCAGCACATTCACTGCAAATTAACCATGAAATGAGCCTTGCCTGAAGCTGGGATAAAACTCAAACTGAAGATGAAAAGAACCTGAATCTGCCTGAAATTCCCATGGAACAAACAAGAACCATCAGTTCTGGGGATCTCTCATCTGGATCAGGAATGTTGACAAATCCTGACTGTTATCTGTTTCAATACCCTGACTGATATCAAATTAAATATCCTGATAACCACTTCAATATCTCGATATCAAATTCAATGCCCTGATTGATATCAAATTCAATATCCTGACTGATATCAACTCCTGCTGATAACTCCAGCAGCAGACGGCAAATCTAAGGCTGAACTCAAGGAGTAAATCAGCTGCTGGCTGCAGAGGAAGCAGCAAGAACTGATTTCACAGCTCTTAGGTGCTGGTTTAAAGCACAATCACGAAGTTGTGCTCTCCATTTCCTCCCCAACTCAACAAAGAGCTGTTTGTTTATAAAACCAATCACTCTGCAGTGATTCCAGACAGGATTTCTCCTCACACCCTCACCATGGTCCAGGCCGCTTGAGGATAAAAGCAGGGAGCTTGCCCATGCTCCCCTTTCTGCCATCCCAAAATAACCCCAAATGGAAGGGCAGGAGGCTCCCATGAGCACCAATCATTCCCAAACACGGATGAACCTGTTCCTCCATCTGCACCGGGAAGGAGGGAAAAGCCAAGCCACTGCTCTCCAGTATTTATAAACATCAACATGTATCAAGTGTCTTGCAATTTTATTTTAATCTTCAGTAGTTCCCGTATTTCTTCAAATACAGCTTTTTTTTTTTTTTCTCCTGCTGCTGCCACAGTGCAGAAATAACAACTCTCCTCATGGCATTGCAAGGAATTTTGAACAGAAAGCAGCACAAACTAATTAAACTGAATTTTAGCTGCAGTTAAACACTTTGCATTTCTCCTGACAACACCTGCTTGGAGCAGCCTGGGACAGTGGGAGGTGGAACTGGATGGGCTTTGAGATCCTTTCCCACCCAAAGCACTCAGGGATTCTCCACACCTGCAGCAGCTGCTGGAGCGGGACCTGCAGCTAATCCAGCCCTTCCTCTTCACCCTGCTCTCCTCTACCCCTTTCCTAAGGAAAATAAAACCTTTACCAGCACACTCCTGCAGAATTGCACCCCAACACTTGTGAATTTTGCAGTGAATCACACCCAAGGGTCACAAAACATTTGAATTTTCACTGTCTCCTGCACACCCCTGCTCCTGCAGAGAACCCCAGCTCTGCTCCCTCCAGTTTAAAATCTCCCCACCGAAGCACCAAGTTTCCAACTGGAAACAGCAGAAACAAACAGAAGAGATAAGTTTACCTCACACGGAGATTCCAGAGCTATTTACAGATATAAGGGAATCCCCAAAGCCAATATTAACAGATGCTAATGAGGGGAAGGGGCTTTGTTCTGTCAAGTGCTCCTCCAACCAACACAGCATTAGCAAGCACCAATCACCTGCAATTATGCAACAGGCTGCTAAGACAATGAATTTTTCCTCAGGGAAAGTTGTCAATTGCAATGGAAGAAAAAAAAGGGTATTTTAAGTGACTCTGAAGCAGTTCTGCAGGTTGGAAATTTGAAAAGAATAAGCAGCGGTTTAGAACTAGAGCCATTTATTCATTCCCTGTTTTTTATTAAAATTGACCCTATCCACTATGAAAATAATCCTGCTAAGCCCTCTTACAAAGGACTTACCAGTTAGGCCAATATTCAATTTGGCAGAGCAGGGAGGAGGGGAGGACTTACCCATCATCAACAAAAGCAATTCTTCAGCAGCCAGGGCACAGAGATCCCACTGAGATGGGATTATGAATTAGACAAATTAAGAAAACTGATCCCCCTCAGACAAGGCAAATATTAAGATAAAAGCAGCCATCTGTGCAGTGCAGAACTGGGTTTGTGTGCAGCAACAGGCAGGGAAGGCAGAGCAGGTATTCACAGCAGGTATTCACAGCAGGTATTCACAGCAGGTATTCACAGCAGGTATTCACCTGGGTGTTTACAGCTCCTGCTTTGTGCCACACAGCTGGGGCAGGGAGGGGAGCACCCGGCAGCAGTGCCAGCCCTGCACATCCCTGCACTGTACTGGGACAGCCCTGCACAGCCCCGGGAGAGCACTGCACTGCCCTGGCACTGCCCCAGGCCAGCCCTGGCACATCCTTGCTCTGCCCCGGGACAGCCCTGGCACTGCCCTGGCACTGCCGTGCAAGGAACAGGCATTCCCTGCCCGCTCTGGGACTCACATTGCTCACAGCTCTGGAGACAGAACAGGAAAGGGAGCACAGGGTTGGGAATGTTTGACCATTCCTTGTGCTCCCATCTGCTCCCAGCCCTGTCCTGAGCTTCCCTGAAGTGCCAGGGGAGCTGCTGTGGCACCATCTCCATCCTGGCCCCCTTGCTCCCATCTCCATCCCCCTGCTCCCATCTCCATCCCCCTGCTCCCATCTCCATCCTGGCCCCCCTGCTCCCATCTTCACCGCTGCCAGCAGTGGGGAAACTGAAAAACTCAACCCAAACATTATTCCCAACTGCCAGTACTCCCCAGCTGCCAGTGAACCATAAATTTATGGGAACACAGCACATCAGTAACATGGAAAGCAGAGGCACAGGGGTTTAGTTTGGGGTGGTTTTTTCCTTCATTTTTGTTCGGTTTGTGGTTGTTTTCTTTAATGCAGGTTACAGAAGTGTCACAACCACTGAAACTGTGTCCCTCTGCAGGGGCTTCTCCAGGACCTACCCAGCTGCACCAATGGGGCATCAACCATAGACACAGGCACAGAATCATGGAATATCCTGAGCTGGAATATCCACAGGGATCACTGACCCAGCTCCTGGACCCCCCCGCAACCCCACCCTGGGCATCCCTGGGGCTCTGGCAGCCTCAGGGCCGTGCCCATTCCCTGGGCAGCCTGGGCAGTGCCAGCACCTCTGGGGGAAGAACCTTTCCCTGAGCTCCAGCCTGCCCTGCCCTGGCCCAGCTCCAGCCGTGCCCTGGTGCTGTCCCTGGCCCAGGGCAGGGATGGGAGCTGCCTCTCCAGATTCTGATATCCCAGAGCTCCCCTACAACGATCCCCAGGGGCTGCAGGAACCTCACTGCCCACACTCAGTGACCCCAGCACTGCCACCTGCAAGGGCAGCAGCCCAGCAATAATTAAACACTTTCAGTTAAATGTATAAAATACTCCTCATCAACATTTCTCTTCCAGGGCAGGCTCCAATTCCCTGCTACCCCCAGTACTCCAGTTTGAAGTTAAGCACCTCCAGTTGCCTCATGGCTCTGTGTCCCCATCCTCCTCCCACCCTCAGGATTAAGTTTCACCAGCACCTCAGCCAGCTGCTCCTGACTCCAGACCCAGACTCTGCACAACCTACTCCAAATCCAAGGTCCCAAATGCCTGTAAGGGGTTGGGGACAAACCCAAGTGCAGCTCACAGCCCCTCTGTGCTGCCCACTATCCCCAGAGACACTGCACCGAAATTCCCTGCTGCAAAGCCACAGATCCAAGGGATTTCAGCAAGGAAAAGAACATGCAGCTCCCCACCCTGAGGCTGGGGGAGAAAGGGAACTTGCAGGGCTTGTGTTCAGCCAAAGAGAAGGGTCAGGGCTGTGGGACCAAGGCCTTAAGGGCCATATGTGCTGAGCTGAGCCACAGCATCAAAATCCCACATGGAACTGCTAGACAAAGCTCCAAAATGAGTTCTTCATCCCAGGGAACAGCCTGGTCAAGGTGCTGGAACAAAGGGACAACATCCCCTGCCCCCAGAGATGCTTTCAGCTTTCACAGGTTAGAGTGGAGAAAAGGGGGCTCTGGGACTCTTTTCAATCCCTGCTTGAGAAAATATTGCATTTCCACTTGCTGGAAATTCAGGAATATGAGGCTGGGAGTCTGAGGATGGAAATAGCCCCAAGAGAGAAGAAAATTGTGGGGGTTTTTAAAGTATTCTTAATGCTCCCAGATAAGGTATCTGTTGATCTCCAAGTATTATCTGCATTTTGAGAGTAGGACAGATAAGAGTTTGACAGTGCCCTTTGAAAAACTGCTCCAATGTCTTCACAAACTCCTTCAAGTACTGAAATTATGACGGTGCTTAACAAGGAGCAAGAAAACTAGAAAATAAAAGAAATCTAACACTGAATGCTGAAAAGCTCTTCCTCATCTTTCTCCTCCAGGTTTTTCACTATGGATTTATTTCACTATCATTCATTTCAGACTCTCTGACTTTCTCTCCAAGCTTCCCTCTCATTCCATGATCAGAAAGGGTGGAAACCACCAGTGCTTTGCTAAGGCATCTAAACTGCACAAAATCCAGGTGATTTTTCACATGGTCCTGAAAGCCAAACCAGATCCTCTGTGATCTCCTGAAACCAGCCTTGGAGACATACAGAGAAAATTCAGTGGGGAAAGAATGGAAACTGTGAGACTGAGGGAGAAAAACCCCAAGAGAAACAAGAAATAGTGGTTTAGCTGAAGAAGAAGGGTGAGATGTCACCTTTCCCAAAAAACTTGCTCATTCAAGCATGTGGAAAAGCCCAGTGACAAAAGGATGCCATTGCCAAAACTTTCTGCATCACAGTTACAAGAAGGGGGGAAAAAAATGAGTCATAACTGGAAGGCAAAGCTCCAAACACAAACCCAAACTCGCTCCTCTCAGAAATGCCTAAACAAACCAAAAGCTGGGAGAACTCAGCAGTTTTAGGAATTCCTTCAGGCGTTCCAGCTCCGTGACCTTGTGTCCTGACAAGCAAAGCTGAGCGCTGTGCTCACTGTGAACCTGCTCACAGCCAGCCTGGGCTCCCTCTCTCTCTGAGAATGAACTCCTGCCCAAATGAGGTGTCACAAACTCATCTCCTCAGAACACTCCCACCCCCAGCATTCCACAGGCAAGCTGCACATGGAGCACAGCAGCTGCTGTGCAGCAGCTTCAGGCAGGTTTTTAATGTCATGTTTGCTCCTTTGAAAATAATTTTCACCTCCTCGTAGTCAACAGTCTTAGGGTAAATTAATCCAACATGGAGAAAAGGATTTTCCTCTCAAGTCAAATCAAAATCCAACCCTGGATGATGGTTTTCCACAGAAGGAAGTGGGGAGAAAGAAAGGGGGAGAAGCAAAGCAGGGACAGAAGAAGCAACAGGGGAAGGAAGGAGGTCTTTGACCTGAGAGAGGGCACCTTACTATGAATCCCACCATGCCACAGTCCTGGTTTGCTCTTTTCTCCAAAACAGCAGCTTTTGGGTTCCAGGGGTTCTTGTTTTTTATACCTGGCTCATGCACTGGGTAGCAGACAGGATGGACTAAACATGGAGGAAATAAACTGGTCTCAACTTGAGAGGAGCATCAGACTCGCATCAAGCTGAGCTGCCACACATGAACAACCTCCTACCAGACACAATTTTCTCCTCTGTCCTTCCACAAGGGACTCACTAAAGGCAAAATGAACCAGACAAGGCAAAGAAGTCTTTCCATCCAACTTCCAGGAACAAGCTATTCTTTCAGGTCACTCCAAAACCAGACAAATTCTCTTTTTTCTAAGAAAACCAGTGGGCATTTCCCCCTAAATCCGCCACCTCCTTGCTGCTGTGAGAGATTAAATTAATTAACTCTGGCTGGGGTTCTGTGAAGTTCCAGCTGCAGGCCCATTATCCGTGCCCTGCTCTTATCCCTCCTGCAGCCCTGGCTCACCCTGCCCAGTTACTCCAAACCTTAAACACAGCCCTGACCTTTCTGCAAGAACCAAAAAAAAGGTGGGCAGGACTGGAAACAGAGCAGCAGACAATGTCCCACAGCACAACGAGCTCTGAGCTCAGTGAATCCCAAAATAAACCTGCTCCAAGGACTCAGACACCTGTCCCCAGCCGGATTTCGAGCTGCTGCTGTCCAGCCACTCTCTGCTGCTGGATGAACCAACAGGTGGAAATTTAGCTGGTCCTCCCTCTGAGATGGATTCCAGCCCAGCAGGTTTGGGGCCCAGCAGGCTTGGGGTTGGATCAATCTCTCACACACACAGACCCAGAGCCACCTCACAGGCAGAACAGAGAGTCCTCAGCATCACAATCGTCCCAGCAGCCTCAAAAAGTTGCTATTTCATTTCTTCCCCCTCCCAAAATATGGATTTTTTTCTCCAGGCCTCTCACTTACCTCTCCCATAGCCCGTCCCTCCAGAGCCAGCGCTTGGAAATCGTGATTCAGCTCATCCATGGAACGCACCTATTCACAGATGGGGAAGAAAAGGCCATGAGGAAATGCTTTTCTTTGCTGTTATTTTTATTATAATCACAGTTTATAACCATTTTTCCGCTCCAGACTGAGAGCTACATTCCACATGAGAGCCTGTAACAAGGTTATGGAGCTCCCAAGGATGACTTACCTTTAACATTCCCAGCAGTTACAACATTTATATACTTCCATTATTTTACACACACATGTATTATTACATACAGATTTATTTCTGTGTGTTAGATTTATACATGCACAGGAAAAGAACAACCAGCAGTTACTTTTAAGATAGGCAAAGCCTAACACAACTGTCTCTGCTCATATTTCACAATGGTTTCAGGTGAAGGAGTCAAGGCATGAGGAGTCAGCATCATTTTAGGTGGCAATCAAGGAAAATCTGTATAAAGCTGGCAAATTTACATCCAGGTTACACTGACACAAAGCAGAAAAAAACCAACCCATTGATTTGATGAAAATTGAGTCATTTAGAGCAAAAAATAAAGCATAAACTTGAAACTATTGGATAAATTGACAGAAGCACAGAATGGGTCCACAAGAATGATCCAAGTCAGCTCCTGCCCCTACCCAAACCCCCAGCAATCCCACACTGGGAATCCTGAGCTGGAATATCCACAGGGATCACTGACCCAGCTCCTGGACCCCCCCACCAGCCCCACCCTGGGCATCCCTGGGGCTCTGGCAGCCTCGGGGCCGTGCCCATTCCCTGGGCAGCCTGGGCAGTGCCAGCACCTCTGGGGGAAGAACCTTTCCCTGAGCTCCAGCCTGCCCTGCCCTGGCCCAGCTCCAGCCGTGCCCTGGTGCTGTCCCTGGCCCAGGGCAGGCATCAGTACCTGACATGGACTGGGTTTGTTAAAAATGCAGGAAAACCCTTCTGCTGCTTCTCATTCCCAAATCTCAGCTGCTGAGCACACACGAGGAAGAAAATTCAAGAAGAAACCCCAACTGTGGACTCGAGGCCAAACCCAGCAGCTGAGCCACGTGCTGGGACTGGGAGCAGGTGACTGCCCTCCCCTGCCCCCTCCAGGGTCCCAGCAGCCCCAAACACCCCGCACAAGCAGCACACACTCCCCTCCTACTCAGTGTTTACACACTCCCTGCACCCAGCAGGGCCGAGGCACTGCTCTGCTCAGCAGGGAGGAGTTTATAAAGCACTCCCAAATGAGTAATGCCCACACTGATCCAGGCTCCTCGCAGCTTGCTGCAGCTTTACACACAGGGTTTAGTCCTGCCTCTGCACAGAGCCCTCCCAGGCCGAGGAGGGAGCTCAGCAATATCTGGTGGGTGAGTTACAGGACAAAAAAATCCCCAGAATTGTTTAGATGTTCATGGCCCACCAGTGACCAGCACTGTAACATTACACCATCATCAGCGACCTTAACTACGACTTCTGATACTGCAGTGCCACTTCCAGCAGGACCAAGACCTTGGGTTATGTTTTATTTCTATTATATGACAATATTCTGTAGATCTCATCTAAGACAATATTCTATAGATCTCATCTAAGACAATATTCTATACACTTCATCTAAGAATCAGATGGAAGAAAGGACCACATTAACCTCCAGAAATCTCCTCCAGTCTAAATTCTTCTATTCTATTGCCAGCATACTTTGCAAAAGATTAGTGGTATATTATTGAATTATTTAATAGATATTTACATAATTTGCAAATCCCCAGGGGTCACTCACTCAGAATCCCAGTTTAAAAATCAGTTATCTCTTGTTACTGTATCTCAGCTCAGTTATTTTCAGTTCTGCCTCAGCCTTGCCACCTTTTGCAGTGACATTTGTCACATGGGCCACCAACACCGAGTGAAACTCTTCCCAAAACTGCAGCCCCAAGGACTCTCCTCCCCTGCCAGCTCCATCCCTGCTCTGCAGCTGACACAGCTCAGCTGCCTGGTGCCACACAAACATCACTGGGACCAAATTCTTCCGTGGAGTACTTCAAGCTGAACTCATGGAAGGTGCTGCAACCTCCAGATGTGCCAAACCACAAAAGCTGGCAGAGAGCAAATTATTATTTCCATCAGGCATCTGAGAGAAGTTGCACAGAGAGATTCAGAAGGTGATGTGAACTCACAGCTGCTGATGTCCCAGCAAACCACAGAGGCCACTAAAAGGCTGCTCCGAGTGTGTCCAGCAGCTTCCCCAAAAGAAATCAACTCCCAGGGCTGTGGGAACCTCAAAACAAAGCTGCTACAAAGATCCAATCACTACATACCCAGAAAATCCAAAAGGATGTAAAGTGATATTTTTATTTGATTTGGTCAACATGCAATCATGGAATGGGTTGGGTAGGAAGGGACATTCAAGCTCCTCCAGTGCCACCCCTGCCATGGCAGGGACACCCTCCACTGCCCCAGGCTGCTCCAAGCCCCATCCAACCTGGCCCTGGACACTCCCAGGGACAGCCACAGCTGCTCTGGGAATTCTATCCCAGTTCCTCCCCACGCTGCCAGGGAATAATTTCTCCCACATATCCAATTTAAACCTATTCTCTGGCAGTTTGAAGGCATCTCCTCCTGTCACCCCAGGCTCTCGCCAATAGTCCCCTCTCCATCCTTCCCTGCAGGCACTGGAAGGCCACAATGAGATCACCCCAAAGCCTTCTCCTTTCCATGCTGAACAATCCAAATCTCTCAGCAGAGGTGCTCCAGCCCTGCAGATGACTTGGTGTCTCCTGGACACGCTCCAGCAGGACAATGCCAGAGGAGAAACAGGCTGCCTCCATCCCTCTCCCCACGATCCCTTACTCCAGCCAAGACAAAAAGCAGAAAATAAAATTTGCCTTCTCTATCAGCTGTTAAGATGTTAGGAAATGAAGAAATTATTCATTCACAGATATTTCACATCCCTTATCATCTCTCTTTCAAGAATCCTAACAAATATGGATAAATGCATTTTCTAAATCAGGTCTTTGTGCCTGATTTTGGCCACTCTGAGCTCAAAGTGTCCATAAATTCTCCAGCTCTTTCTCTCCCTCACACAGTTTCTTTACCTTCATTGATCACTGGATCTATTAATTTGATTTTCAAAGACTGTGCCCAAAGGATCTTTTCCCATTTCTCAGCGCCTTTAATGTTAAACAGCAACACATTTTCACCTCATTGCACACAAATATCCCAGGGCTCCTTCATTTTTCCTTCCCCGAAGAACAAAGTGTCTGGAACAGCAGAACACAAAGCCGAGGCCACGACTTCCAAACCTCTGCATTCCAGAAGTCAGGGATTCCTCTGGAATGGCCATTAAACAATAGAGCTGCTCCTCCGCCTCATCAGGATCTGTTCCTGTCACTGATCCCTGAGCTCTGAGGAGCACAGAGCAGAGCAAGGATCGTGTAAACACAAGAAACAAGGAGATCCGCAGAGACAGAACTTCTCCCCAGATGAGCACTGGTGCCAATGAGATTTGATGACCAGAAAACGTGGCTCACCACCGAAGCAGAGATTTGAAAGAAATCCAGAAGACAACGCCAGGATCAATCAGCTGCACGAGGGAGCGATGCCCTGACATCTGGATCTGATGTGACATCCTGGGAGGGAGAGGTGAGCTCCACAAACTTCACCAATCAGGAATCACACAAGGAGAGGGCAGCTGGAGTCTCAATCCCTTGGGAAGTGATCCAAGCAAACCTGACTCCTGCTGTTCTCAGCCAGCAGCACCCAAGGCTGCCCCCTGCTCCAGGCAGGCGTGCCTCTGAAAGGATGCAGAGTGCACATCCTCACAGGAGCCAGCTGCTGCCCTTCCCAGGATGAGACAGCTCCTCCCTTCTGCTCACACACACTCGGAACCCCACTCCACAAAATGAAGGCTCTAGACACGAGCACCACGTTCTGGAACGAGTTCCAAAGCAGGTCTATTGCACAAGAACATCCCCCCCTCACCATGGAACATGTGGATGCACTCAGGAGTGATGTAAATCTCATCCAAGAAGAACGATTTCCACACTCTAATACAGGAATGTGTGTCACTGTAACACACTCCAGCTCCAGCCACGCCACTGACTCAGAAATCATTCCCTGCCTGCCCGGTGGGAGCACACATCCCAAAGTGAGATTCACCACCAGCCATGCCTTGGAGCAAAACCACGGCATCACTGCACTCCCCGAGGCTGGGGGAATTCAGCCCCTGCTCTGCACCACTTCTCACCTCTCTGCTGAAAAACACGGGGCAAAGCCAGACACAGCTGGATCCCCACTGCACACCCACCAGACACAGCTGGATTCCTCACTGCAC